CCAGGGGGCGCCCGCGCGCCGGCGGCGCCGCCCCGGCCCAACGCGGCCCCGAGGCGGTGACGGACCCGGGGGGGAAGGAAAGGGAGAAAAAAGAAAAAAAAAAAAAAAAAAAAAAAAAAAAAAACAAAAAAAAAAAAAAAAAAAAAAAAAAAAAAAAAAGGCGAAAAAAATAAAACCAAGGAAAATAATAAAAAAAACTCACGAAGAAAGAAAAAAAGGAAAACCACCCAAAATATCCTCCTCCTTCCAGTTTTCACCCTCCTGAATATTGTCTGGCTACACATGTACCAGGGTTGGACTTCTCCCTCCCAGCACCACTGAGCTCAGGTTGCCTGATGCACATCTTTGGGGAACAAGTGCAAAACTCTCGCTGGATGGAAAGGGGGTTCCCGGCCTCGCACCTGCCCCTGCTGGGGTCACACCTGCTGCAGGGCCCCAGGGGGTGTGCGGAGCCTTGGCACAGGGAGGTGGCACCTGCCTTGTCACCCCCTGCCTTTGCCTCAGTCATTGCACTGAGGGATATGTCTCTCTGGAACGAAACAGTGGACAGGAGTGTGATGGGGAAGGGCATGAGGGTAGTGAAAATAATGCTTAATTGAAAGTACTGTCAAGAAAATACTTGAGAGAGAGAGAGGGAGAGCTGCAGCTGTCTCTCCATCACACACTGTCCATGGGTACATCCATGTCACACTCAGGGAGAGCTTGCTTTTTTGTATTCTCCAACCTGTGTCATCAGGATGTTCTTAAAACCCTGGTCCATGTAATCTCAGTGCACATGCCAATTTGAGGGGAAAGTGATGCCTTTGGCGTCACTGGAGGAAATATTCAGGTCACAATGCAGCCTGCTGATCCTCAGCAGCACTTTTATCTGCAGGAACAAACTACCTCATCTCCACATCTGTGTGTTACCTGACTCATTCCCAGCAAAATGTCTTGTAATGAACCATTTTGCCAGCTGCACTCACCCAAATGTCACGTGAGGAGATCCTGCACACACAGCCAGTTTCTGCTTTGCCTGCATGGATGCCTGCCCTGTCCTGCTGATGATCTTGGGAGTTCAGATTTCCTCCTCCAGCACGGGATGTGTGCTGGGAAGAAGACGGTGCCCTGTCTCACGCAGCAGTGACTCACCATGCAGCCCCGTGCAGCTCTGTGGCCTCCCTCCATCTGCATTTCTGGTACCCAGGATGCTGTAATTAAACACCTCTGAAGAGCTGTGTTAGCATGGACATACCCAGAGCTGCAGGGAGCCACAGAGAAAATAAAACTGATGGCAACACCATCCAGCTCCTCCTCAGCGCTCCAATGGGGGAAATCTGAGAATCCATTTATTTTTCTTCATTTTGCTCTGATGTTATTTTTCTGTGATCATGTTGCTCACAGCAAAACTGAAATGAAAAGCCCAACAGCCAAGAGTATCAGAAGTGCAGGAAGAGAGATCTCCCCACACGATCCTTCCTCAGGCTGGTCCTGGGAAGCAGGGTTGAGCATCTTGGTTTGCTTGGGCAGTGAGGGAGGTGGTGCAG